GAACGAAACGTGAAAGTGTAATTTGGTAACTGAACGGAAAAAAAAAAAGTGCAATTAGGCCAATCAACCTTCCAAATGCATGCAATTTCACCTGATAGCAAGTTCACATTCCATCTAGCAGGTTGCATGTTGACATGGACGATGAATTAGATAATGACTTGCCATGTTTTTTAAAGAAATATAATTTATTTATTTTTTATATAAAAGAAGCATACGGTAATGTATATATACTAAATATATACAAAATGAACACACAGCCAACATATCTAATTGTTATCAGGTGAAATTGTATACATTTGGAGTGTTAAGTGATCAAATTGCACTTTCATTTCGTTCAAGAACAAATATTAATTTTGGTCTTACGAGTATTAACAAAATGACAGTTTTGGTCCCATGTTTAATTTCTACCAATTTTCATCTACGACTATTATTTTAGTACCATTTTTAATCCACGACTATTATTTTAGTACCAAAATTCATCACGTCGGTCACCCATCTATTTAAGACATCCCGAAATTTAAAATTTTTTTAAAGACATTTTCGTCATTTTCAACTTAAGATTCCAATTTGAGCATAAATAAATGAATTTAAGCCCTAAGATGATCCCAATCCACAGTTCTCCTTCTCATCCTACCTTAATTTGAGGAGGAAAATTGCGAATTGGGATAGATCTTAAAGCTTAAGGGGGCGTTTACTTCATTTCTCTATTTTTCCTTTTCCATTTCTCCATTTTTCCAGTTTTCCATCTCCATTTCTCTGTTTTTCCATTTCCATTTCTCCAGTTTTTCATTTCTCCAAATTTTTTAAATTTCATTTTACAAATTCAAACTTCAAATAAAAAAATGCAATAAATTAATACTAAATGTGTAAAACTAACGAAAATTGATAAAAATATATTACTAAATAAATTGTAATTGTTATAATCATTACACATAGTTTGGTTACAAAACAAGAACATCATTGATTACAATCTCCCCATATAGCATTTGTTATGTCTTCTCGAACTTCATGCATAACATGTTGTTGAGACATATCTAATTCTATGGGATCATTTCCACCATTGCTTCCACTACTACTAGGCATTTCCATGTCTTCCCTTTCATATTCGGTAAATAATTGGTCCATAGCATCATGCATCCGTATAAAATTGTGCATTGCACAACAAGCGATAGGAATTTGGACTTGTCTTCGCAACGGATAACCATGAGTGTATTTAAGAATTGAGAACCTCGCTTTTAGTAACCCAAAACACCTCTCTATGACATTACGCAAGGACGAGTGTCGATAGTTGAATAGAGCTTGCTTATTTCGTATTCGTCCTCGTCCACGGAACTCATTTAAGTGATAGTTTTCCCCACGATAAGGTGCCAAAAACCCAGGAGTATTTGGATAACCGGCATCGACAACATAGTAATAACCTATATAAATGTTATGCACATAATTAATAACGTATTTATAATTTTCAACAAAGTAATTTACTCATTTAAAAAAAAAAAAGGAAGAAGAAAACAATATCATACCTTGAGAAGGCATAGGAAATCCATGTTCAGGTTTTGTAATTGCATCTAAAAATATGCGGGAATCATTGGCACTTCCCTCCCATCCTGCGTGTACGTAAGTAAACATCATGTCATGTGAACAAACGGCCATGACATTTTGGGTCACCATTGAGCCCTTTCGACCAGTAGCAAGGACAAACATGTGCCCAATTCTTCTCTTCATCTCCTCATATGAGTCATCTAAACTAGTTGAGTCATTCTCATCACTTGTTGAGCTATAATATGCATTTTCATCAATAGTTGAGCTATAAGAAATATCATAATTGTTGTCTGACATTATCTGTCCAACACATTATAAAAAGTTCAAACACATATTAATATAAACACATGCTCAAGGTATTACAATTTAAAACACAATTAAAATAGTCATAATACAACATGTCAAAATACTAAAGTACAACACATAGGAGTTCATCTACTAAAGTACAACACATAGGAGTCAACATACTACAACACCTTGATAATAATACTAGGACTCTAGGAGTTCTGATCACATAGGAGTTCATGTACTAGGAGTTCTGATCAACATACTAATCAACATACTAAAGTACAGTTAATATGTTCATATACTAGGAGTTCTGATCACATAATATAAAGAACATGTTCATCATACAAACAACAATTAATACAATATTGATTAGAGGGAAAGCAACCAAGCCAATCGTCTATCTTCGGGCATTGCAATAAAACCATTTCGGTGAGCTTCAGACGTGGCAAGTTTTTCAAAAGCATGATTATAAGCTTCTGAGCTAAGAGTTGAGAATGTGTTTAGAATTTGCACACTTCTCGTCATACTATCAACATGGGTCATTCCCGTACTCATTTCACTCGCAGATTCTTCTCGGTGCTGCCTATGTTGTTGCCTAAGTTTCTTTTCCTTTCGCTCCTCTCTCCTGTCATGCAAATCTTCAAACATTATACTGTTGTACGACATAAATGCAGAAGCAAGTTCATTTCTCCAATTCTTGTTAACACTCATTTTACCACTACCAGTCATCTCATCTGCACTTCGTTTGCCCTTAGAACTATTCCCACAACTTCTAGGTAAGTTGTCTGTATCAGTCATTATAAAGTTATCTTCATTTTGCCTTTCTTCATTGGAGTTCACTGGTTGTTGCGTTGAAGGGTTCGCAAGGCCTCCAGTAGCATAGTTGTTGCCAAAAATAAGACAATACATCTCATAATGTTTGCAACCTTGTTTGTATAGAGTTCTGAATATCTTGTTTTTCTACACAATAAAATAAGCATCATTAGTGTCATCTTTATTATATTAGTGCACTATATTATATAAAAGTATAATTCATACCTTGAAGAAACTTTCCCAAACTTCATCATCTGCTATAGCCTTATTTGTTTCAGCATTGAATGTTACCCCAGTGTGGTTTAACACCTCTAAGAAGCGCTTGTGTAAATCCTTGCATCTGTTATACTTTCCACACAAATGACCACCAGTATAAGCACATCCTGTTTTCTCTTTAAGTTCTTGACTCATTTCATTCTAGGAAGAGGACTTAAAAACAGACTGTCCATTAGGGTGCCGTTTGATCCTATCGTATAAAATATCAAGAAAAACGACCAGGGTACTATCCAACCACTTTGCATCTTCGTCATGCGTATTCCGTAAGTTACTCATCTACAATTTTCATTAATTATTCAATTTCCATTAAAACCTTGTTTAAAATCAGAACATCATTTAAAATCAGAACCTCACCATTGAGCTAACATCAGAACCTCATTTTGAGGTTCTCAGAACCTCAAAATGAGGTTCTGCTGGAACCTCAAAATGAGGTTCTACAATTAGAACCTCATTTTGAGGTTCTATAATCAGAACCTCATTTTGAGGTTCTCAAAACAGAACCTCAAAATGAGGTTCTGTAAGTAATAGAGAAATTAGATATGAGATAACATTCATCAAAATAAATAAAAATAGGTTTAGATAATTACTTGTGGACTTGGACAAGATCCTACAGAAGATTTTGGAGAGTCCGTGTTGAGTTGTTGAGATGCAAGGTTCACCAGAGACGGTAGAGTCACCGGAGTTCTTGTGCGGCTTGACGGAGTGCTGCTACGCTCCTCTTTGCTGTACGTGAAGGAAGGCTGCTACGCGAACGATTGGTAAAAGGAAAGAAGGCTAATGGGAAGAAAAAGGACTGGAGACGAGGGGAAAAGAAAGAAAGAAGGCGAAGGAGATGATGGGAAGGGGAGGAAGGCGATAGACTACACTCAGTCGAGGGAGAGAAGAAAAGAAAGAAGAGAAGGACTAACCCTAGAAGGAGTAATAAAAAATTATCATAAGCTAGATTCGAACCAATGACCTTACTTAATTTTACTATTCACCCGTGTTTATTCCATCCTTCCATTTAGAGAATGTTGTTTTCTATTTCTCCAAAATTGTATAAGAAATGGAAGAATGGAGATGAGATTGAAATTGGAAGAATAGATTTAGTAAACAAGTTCTCCGATTCTCCTTTCTCCACTTCTCCAATTCTCCATTTTTTTGGAGAATTCTCCATTTTTCCAAGTTAGTAAACGCCCCCTAAATTCTTTTATTTATGCTCAAATAGGGATCCTAATTTGCAAAGCACAAAACTATCTTTAATAATTTCATATTTCGGCATGTCTTAAACGAAGGGATGACTAGCGTGATGAATTTTGACACTAAAATAATAATAAATTAGTAGGAATTAAACATATAAACTAAAACTACCATTTTGTTAATACTCGTAAGACCAAAATTGGTATTTACTCTTTCGTTTAATGACCAAAGATCAATTTGAATCTTATTCTTTGTTTGAGTTATGAGTGAAACATGTCTTGTAAAATACGATGATGAGGTAATCAAAAAGGTGAGTAGATAGTTGAGGAGCACAGGGCAAATTATGCCGTGCATCCGTATGCACCATGCATGGTGCATACGGATGCAAAAACGACGTCGTTTTAATAAAATGCACGTCTCCCCTTAAAAAAAAAAATCAGGTTCGATTCCCAGCAACAACATATGAACTAAAATTTCATAATCGATAAACTATAATTCCATAATCGATGAACTATAATTCCATAATCTAATCTATGAACTAAAAATTCCAGAATGAATGAACTAAAATTCCATAATCTATAAACTAAAATTTCAGAATCGATGAACTACAATTCCATAATCGATGAACTATAATTCCATAATCAATGAACTATAATTCCATAATCTATGAACTAAAATTCCAGAATGAATGAACAATATAATGTTGTTGCTGGGAATCGAACTTAAATTTTTTTTAAAGGGGAGACGCGCGTTTTTTAATAAAACGACGTCGTTTTGGCATTAGTATGCACCATGCATGGTGCATACTGATGCACAGCATAACGATTGAGAGCACAGAGAGTTGAACTTGGAATCGGGCACCGTAAGAAAGTGAGTTGAATTTATCATAAGTTATGTTTTGAATAAGCTATTGGGCTTCAAGAGGGCACATTGTGAACTGCTAAAATTTCTTAGGGAAAATCGTAAATTTTTACCAAACTCACAACGGACGGCGAGTCTCCTCCGTCGCTCCGGCGCACTGCCTCACTCCGAAGTTCTGACTGCCCAGGTTTGTTTTATTTATTTATTTCAAGTAGAGAATTTCAACATCTTTGGACAAGGTATAATGTGAAGGCAAAGGTTCAATAAATGAATGAATTTGGAAATTCTGATGATTTATTTGCTGCTTTCAAATCTCAATTCTGCATATTTCGGTCATAATTGTTTGTTAAAGTTATTTATTTGTGTTGAGCATATAACCATTAATATGTAATCCAATTACCAGCTTAGGCTTTTAGTTGAGATGCAACACATGCTTCAATTATTTGTGTCATAATTGTTCTTTCCTTGATTTTTCCTTAATGCCTTTGTAGCCTTGCTATCTGTTTGGATGAAAAAGAAGAGCAGGTGCCAATCAATAGACTAAGACAACATAATCTTGTTTATGCTGACAACAAAAGTCACTGCTTTGTTGGATAAGGCTCTAGCCATTAACCAAGCAAAGCAAATTCATGGCGTAATACTAGTCAGTGGACTCCATGATCTCGAGCCTCTCCTGGTGCGACGAGTTCTTATGTCTGCAGGGAGTTACAACCGAAATACCATTCAATATGTTAAGTTGATGCTTCGGTATATGCAAACTCTGGATATCTTTTCAGTAGCATCCACCATTCGGTTTCTTACAGAACATTCTCAGTTCAGGGAGGCTATATCCATTTATGTACAATTGCAGAGATCCGGGCTCAGTCCCAGCACATTTGCTATATCATCTGCTATAAAAGCTTGTTCGAGGATTCTGGATAAGATTGGTGGAGCTTCGCTTCATGGGCAGAGCTATAAGTATGGTTTCTGTAGGGTTGTTTATGTGCAAACAGCTCTTGTTGATTTTTATGCAAAAATGGGAAAAATGGAGTCTGCGCGAAGCATATTTGATGAGATGGTTGGGAAAAATGTAGTATCGTGGAATTCGATGGTGGCTGGGTATGTAAAATCGGGGGATTTGGCGATGGCTCAAAGTGTTTTTGATCTGATTCCAGAGAAAGACGTCGTTTCGTGGAATTCGATGGTTTCGGGATATGCAAGGGCAGGGAATATGGAGCAAGCGTATGCGTTGTTTCAAAAAATGCCCGAGAGAAGTTCTGCCTCGTGGAATGCGATGATTAGTGGATACATAGATTGCGGTAAGATAGATTTAGCACGCAGCTTCTTTGATGCTATGGACCAAAAGAATCACATTTCATTAATGACGATGATTTCTGGATACTCAAAATGCGGGGATGTAGAGTCTGCCCGGAAGCTCTTTGGCCAGATGGCCGAGAAAGAACATAGAGTTTATAACGCGATGATATCTACTTATGCTCAAAACAGTCGACCAAAAGAGGCTCTCCACCTATTCCGTGAGATGCTTCGATTGAATGTGCAACCAGATTATATGGCGTTGGCTAGTGCAATTTCTGCGTGTTCTCAATTGGGAGATTTGAAGTTCGGGTCTTGGATTGAGTCATACATGAAGGAAGTAGGAATCCAAATGGATGATCATCTGGCCACTGCGTTTATTGATTTGTATGCAAAGTGTGGAAGTACCGAAAAAGCTTATGGTTTATTTCGTGGATTACAAAAGAAAGATGTGGTTGCGTACACTGCAATGATATTAGGATGTGGAATAAATGGTCGGGTAAATGATGCCATCGAGCTTTTTGATGAGATGGTATATTTTGAAATCGGCCCCAACTTGGCGACACTTACAGCAGTCTTGACTGCCTACTCCCACGTCGGTTTGGTCGAAAAAGGATATCAGTGCTTCGTCTCCATGGAGAAGTATGGACTTTCTCCTAATGTTGATCATTATGCTATTGTTGTCGATCTTTTAAGCAGGGCCGGGCGGTTAGAAGAAGCGTATGGTCTGATAAAAAGCATGCCAATGCCGCCTCATGCTGGAGTCTGGGGAGCGTTGCTTCTCGGTTGCAGTTTACAGAACAACTTGGAGATTGGAGAGGTTGCCGCAAGGCATTGCTTTGATCTGGAGCCCGACAGCACCGGTTACCGTTCTCTTCTCGCGAATATTTATGCCTCTGCTGGGAGGTGGGATGATGCTGAGAGGTTGAGAGTGTCTGTGGAGGCGAATGGGTATATCAAGTTGCCTGGTTCCAGTTGGACATAAAGACGGGAAAAGGTAGCTACTTAGCAATGCTGAATTTCTCAAACACATTCGCACTGCAATTCTATTAGGATTGCACCGTAATCCCGAGGGTTGTGAATAGGGATGGCAATTTACCCCGTCCTCAGTCCATCAGTGCGATGCCGCCATCTCCGTTTCTCCTCCAATCGGCGATAGCAGACAGCAGACAGGTGAGACAATAGTCCGTTCTCCGCCATCGTTCTCGCACAGTCGCTGCCTCCACTGCCGGTTTAAAAGGTCTGCTATTCTTTTAAATTTAGAACATTTTCCTTTGCTAATATGGAGTACTATTTGTTAACCTGGAGGGTGTGGTTGAGTGGAAGGGACTCAATCCATCGTTAACCAAATGTCAAGAGTTCAATCCTAGGCTTTGTGTATGGTGCAGTCTTAAATCTCTAGGCCAACTGTCCCACCTAATAGAGGTGCTTACAGTTCAGCAGATGATTAGTCACTGTGTCCGACGGTGAAAACCCTGTGCCACACCTAAAAGAAAACTATTTGTTTGAAAGATATTGTTTAGTTTGGGTTTTGAATCATAAGTAAAATATTTGATTTGGCTACTTTGTGCTTTAGATTTGTCTTTGTCAAAGGATGTGACATAGGAGGCTGGAAAGAATTTGCTTCTTGAAGTGTGATGAATCAAATCTAAATACTTAGTTGTACTTTGTGATGAAGCAGTCTGTATATCCAGCCAGATTTATCTCCTCCTGCTTGATACTGAAGTTGCAACTTTATTGGGTTTGCTCTAACTTAGGTTTTCCAGCTTGTTATTACCCAATGTTAACTTGAACAATTAATTAAATTGTTTTGGTTTCGTTCAGATTGAAGATGAAGATTTTGAAGATTGAAAAATGAGGAATTGAAGGCTTTATTGTATTGCTATTGTATTTTTATATAATCATGTTGATTAGAGTTTTGGAGTTTGGACATTGAAATATTTGTAGTTTGCATTTGCTATTTTGGAATTTGGACTTCGGTTGTTCTTGTGTTATTAAAAACTTGTTGAATGTTTGTAATTGATGAATTATAGGTTATAGACTCAAGTGTTTTAATTTCTGAAATTAGGATTTAAGGAGTACTAATTTGACACTTGGGTTGATCGGGGATCTCTTCTCGCTCCCGAGTCCCGCCTAATTCCCCTTGCGGTTGAGGACAAGTATGAGAAGTTTTTCCAGTTTCCTAATGAGGACGGAGAGTATACTTATTGCCTCGCCTTGTCCCTTTGCCATCTCTGGTCAAGAACCCTCAACCACCCTTGTTTTGTCGTCGATCTTAGTGCTCGACCACCCTTGTTTTGAGTCTAAATTAAAAAAAAAAAAAAAAAAAAATCACAAAATGTGTTTTAACCGTGTACAAATCTTTGTCACCGATCCTGGTGGCCTAACCATCCTTGTTTTGAGTCTAGGGAAAATGAAGTAAATAATAAAATGTATTTTGATGGTCTATAGATACTACCCATGCTTTGTCACTAACCTTGGTGCCCCAATCATATACTCGAAATGTGTATTGACCGTTTACAGATACCACCCTTACTTTATCACCGACCCTAGTGCCCCAATCACCCTTGTTTTGAGTCTAGGTAAAATAGGTAAATCGCAAAATATGTTTTGATAGTGCACAGATACCACCCCTGATTTGTCATTGATAAGGAATATACCCCGGCTTTGACCTCCATGTACGTCCGTGCTCTAATTTTGTAGTCGTGTCGGGTCAAATGGTTCATGTCATGGTTTGCAGGTCAATAGTGTCCATATATAGGGCATTAGCCCTTCTTTTTCGGGGGTTCCTCTCCTCTCTCTTCCACTCTCTCTCTCTCTCTCTCTCTCTCTCGCAAGCATAGAACTCTATCTATTCTCTTGAAAAATGCAAGAATATCAATGAATAAGAGATCCTTTTGAGCTACTTTCTCCTATCTACTCTCCATATTGTTCATACAGTTTACATACACATGGTATACGTACAAAATACGTGAAATAATTTACGTTATCAATCACCAACCCTAGTGCCCTAACCACCCTGGTTTTGAGTCTAGGTAAAAAAAAAAAAAAAAAAAAAGTAAATCGCAAAAATGTGTTTTGACGGTATACACATTCCTCACACATTGCAATGCCCTTGAATCAGATCAATGTATGTTTTGCTCCCAATGGGGACTCAGGCTTATGTGCTAAACACTGCAAAAGAGATTCTTTTGTTTTAGCTATATACATTATGCAGGAAAAAAAAAAAAAAATTGCATGAAGAGTTGAAATCTGAAAGGTCAGCTATATGTACAAATTATAGTTAGAAACATCTAAATAATCAATCAACCCAACAGGAAAGGGGAAAGCAATGTGCACCAGACAAATCTCAACATAAACATCAAAACTACAATACAGAACAAAAACCACACATTATCATGCTGTAATGTACAAATCCCAATCTCGTCTTGCCATCTGTTCTTCGTTCTACAGGATCAGCGAAGTCCCTACTCACAACCCGGGAGGGACTGAGCCGAAGCGAATGGAGAAAAGCTCGTATAGGAGTCGCTCGGCCGCAGTGGGTTCGGGTGCCGACTAGAGGAGCCGAGGTAACTTGTTGAAGCATTGCCCCCCGGGCTTGGAATGTATGGAGACATGTATCTCGAGTTAAGAGGCGACATGGAAGGGTAGCCGCCTAGGGAATGATTCTGAGGCGAAACGAGGTAAGAAGCGCGGGATCGTTGTGAAGATGATGCGTTTCTGAGGTCCACCGAGCTCCGGCTTGCGGTAAGATGGGGTGATTGGATGTAGGACTGAAGTGAATGGCGGTGGGTGTAAGGTGTGCTGGAGATTGATTGAGGTCGTGAAGGGGGTCGGGACGACGAGGGGGACCGTATTTGTATTGCCGACGATGATGCTAACGATGATCGAACAGATCCCATTGACGATAGAGAAGCACTCGATGAAAGCAACGGTGTAGACTCTGACGCCGGTGGATCACCGGTGCTGGTTCTAGCGTCGCGTTTACAAACCGGGCAGAAAGTTCTCCACGATGTTAGCCAAGCATCGACACACATAGCGTGAAATTCTGTCAAAATCACAGAGACAAGTTAATCATGTGTGAAAAACACCAACAATAACATAAGACGGGGTCTAGGAACAAACAAACATGGCATGTTCCAAGACCGAAATATTAACTCCTAATCCTATCCCGCGGGGTTCAAGTTTCACTAAATCCTAATCCTAAAACAAAAAACCAGGACAATTGTGAACATTCAACAACCAATCAGGTCAGATATATACTATGAACCGAGTTTAGACACCCTAAAGAAAACTTGAACACAGACTAGCTTGGTTGGCGTGAGTGACTGTGCACTCTCGTCCCTTAAGAGAGGTCGGGAGTTCGAACCCCCTCTCGTATGGAAAAACCAATATGGCCAACACTTTGCCCCTTAATTGGGCCCGCCCGGTGCGAACAGAGATTAGTCTAAATATGGTACGGGTTTAAAGGTGCCTCATACAGTTAGGGTCTGCTCGGGACACCTTGTGGTCTGAACAAAAAAAGAAGACCTGAACACCGAACCCCAACGAAAAAGTAAAGGTATAAATTAATGTTGGAGATTCCATTATATTCATATAACTTGGTAAAACCGTAAAAGACAAAACTCTCTTGAAGATAAAGAAGACTTACTATGGCGGCATGGCAGAACCCTAAGCTTGTCCCCGACGCTATAGTCTTCAAGACATATAGCACAAGTCATTGACGTACAGTTATCCTCAACAACTGCAGTAAATATTAGACTCGGCATGGCCTTAACGAGACGGCTACTCATCCCGTGGAACTCTCGAACACGTGTAGTCCGTGGCCTTTCTCTTCTGACGCGATGCCTACGAACAAAGAAGCAAGTAGCTAGCACAGCTGACATGGCAAGCAGCGAAATGAATGATATAGCCATGATTGACCAGGCCGAGTTCTCGATGCTCGGGATTATCCATATTTCGACGTTGGGATCACCGGCATATGTAGCAAGTGTTTCTCCAGAAGCTTTTGAAACAAACACCGCTGGTATCTTTATACCGCTAGAACTTCCTGCCACTGCATTTCCAATTCTCCGGGTTATATAATCAATGTAAAAAAACTATAGAAATGCAAAGGAAAAGAAAGAATCAAAATAAGAATAGGTCCCTCGAGTCTCGGTATGAACATTTTGAATGCATGACCTTAATAAGGTAGAACATAAGTGCGGGGAATTACACATTTACACGGCCTCCTTTATCAAGAGCTTAATATCTACAGAAACCTTCCACCTTAAGAAAACCCTCTAGAACCGACAAATATAAATTAATTTACTCACTTTCGGTTTTGTATTTATTACCATCAACCTTAAGTGGTGCACGCAATATAACCCAAACTCGGACCTTGACAATAGCCTTTTAAAAGCGCGCTAATTGATGCCATTATTATTTACTAAACTTAAACGAGTATGAAATAAGCAGTGTTGCAAAAATCGCGCCTAGGCGTCGATTGATTAATTGACGCCTAGGCGCCAGGCGGTCGGCCTCCTAGGCGCCAGGCGGTCGGCCTCCTAGGCGCCAGGCGGTCGGCCTCCTAGGCGCTCTAGGCGCCCTAGGCGGTCCCCAGGCGCCTAGAAGGCGCCTAGCGATTTTTTCAACATTGGAAATAAGAAATAGCAGAAACAAAATTGCGAGGGGAAAAGGTCATTACTTGCCACTAGATCTCCATATTCACTGTCGTAGACTATGGCCGCTTTAAACCCCGCCACTTGTGCTCTCTTAACTTTCTCCTCGAAGCTGCATCCTCCCCTAATTATCAACACAAACGGAGACTTTGTGCTGTTTTCTACAACCTCCACTTTATTACTCAACGGTGAGCACGCATCCAATGGCTCAGCAACATACAATGTCCCGCACTGCCCTGATCCCTTTGCCGAGGGAGCTGAAATGCAAATGCCCTTTAAGTTAATGCTCCGTATATTATGACTATATAAGCAGAAAGCAGAATTTGTAAGTGTGAATTTGACCGAGGAAAACAACTAGAAATGCCTCCAAACACCTTAAATCTAACCATACATTCCTACAATTCAAGAAACCTAGATTTTCCGTAACTATACCACACTTGCAAATCAAAATCGTCAGCTCGTTGGGATCCCTAATTCCCTAAATGATATTAGTTCAACAGTACAACCATCAACAAGTGAAACTATGCATCGCAATGCAAACAAAACAACTCTTCAAGTACTTACAGGCAATTTCACAAATCAAAGATAAGGTTAAAGCAGAAGATGCAAGAAATTTGTTAATATTGATATAAGATGAAGATTGCTTTTTCAGCTTTCAGACAATTATGAAACATCAAAAATCAGGAAAGATTCCACTACTTTATGAAAAGATAACATCCTTAAACACCCAGAAAAACAACAAATCCAGATTCAACCTTACACTAACACTACCAAATTCCAAATCTTAACAAAAAATCAAAACTTTGAACCAAATGGAAATGAAATCAACCAACCAAAATTAGCCTCGATGTCTTCGAATGAAGAGGTAACGTTTCTACCGATCAAAACTACATTGGCAAGGGCAGGAGGAGCCGTCAGGAACGCAAAACACAAGAAAAAGAGGGGAAATAATACCCAGAGTTTCAGCATAGCTCCAATTCCAAAATTCAAAACCCTAATAGCCCTTATCTTGGACATACAAACAAAATATGAGAACAAATCACAGGTTTGACGCGAGGATGATAGAAACATCGGCTTCCATATTCTCAGCAATCCCTATTCATCCTGGTATTGTGCCCACTGGTTTGGATAAGGAAATTGGGTTTTCAGGGGCTTCAAAGTTATCCAAATTTTTGTTTTCAATTTTGGAGAAAAAATTGAAGCTTTTTTCGGATGAAAGAAAAGCAAGGTAGATCAAGGTTTTTCCTTTTTTTATTATGATTAGTTCAGAGCTGTGATGATTATCGTGTTATGTTGTGAACTCCAAAAAAGACAAAGATGAAGGAGAAGATAATAATTAAAAAAGGTCTGATATTTATCACTATTTTTTCATATAAAAAATTAAGATGTTGTGATTATTTTTTTATATAAGATTTTTTTTATTTATGAAAAAGTTTACGGTGATGGTTTGAAGATATGCACCTGATAAAAGTCATAAAACTCATCATAACCATTAAAGATGTAAATCAATATAGATGGTTAATAATTGATCGGCTCAATTCAAAAACATGGGACCCCCATATTTTATCAGATCTATTTGAACCTGAGGATGTGGATCGTATTCTAAAAATACCTGTGAGCCCAGATTATAGAGACACATGGTATTGGCATAATGACCCGAATGGTTGCTACACGGTAAAGGATGCTTATAGGCGCCTAATGGGAGAGTTTAATCACACTTTGGGAGATTTTGATAGATGGATTACATTGTGGAAGTTGAAAGTTCCACCCAAATGGAAAACTTTTTTATGGAGAGCGGTGTGTGATATACTCCCAACCACAACAAATTTGATTATAAAGAGGGTGGATGTGAACCCAACATGTATGTTGTGTGGTCTTGCTAATGAGAATGTTATGCACTTATTAGTTTTATGTGATTATTCTAGAGCTGTATGGAATATTTCGGGGCTGCCTATTATGAATATTTTTTCAACGTCTTTCCCGAACTGGCTTTTGACTGTTATGGATATGCTCACAGGCGAACAAGTCAGACGCGTTGTGGGGGTCCTCTATTTTTTATGGATGGCCAGAAACGAGGCGGTCTGGGAACATGCGGTAAGGAGGCCGGAGGTGGTGTGGCGCCGTGCAGCTGCGGGAGAAGCGACCTACACGGCAGTCCACGCCCGCCCAGTGGCGACACCAGCCGAAGGAGTGCAGGCAGTGGCGGCCGAACGGGCGACGTGCCACGTCGACGCCGGCTACGATCCGAACACCGGCAATGCAACCTATGGGGCGGTTCTACTCGGTCCGGAGGGTGTGTTCAAAGCAGCGGCAAATGGAAAGCTCCCGGGGTGTTTTACTCCTCTTATGGCGGAAGCGCTAGCATGCAAGGAAGCCTTGTCCTGGCTTAAAGACCAAAACGAGAGCGAGGTGGATATTCTTACAGATTGTCTTGTCTTAAGGAATGCGGTTCATGCAGTTACTACACCGAACTTATCCTATGTTGGAATTGTGATTGAGCAATGTAGGACAGCTATGGGTAGTTTCATTTATTGTTCGCTTAATTATGTTCCTAGAGCTTTAAATTTACATGCGCATACTCTTGCTAGTTTAGCCTATGATCAGGATCATTCTATGTACTGGGATTTAATCCCTCCTGACTCTATCACTCAATTTCTGAATTAATATACTGGAACGCCATATTTTAAAAAAAGATTGTCCGAAGGTGCACACAGGATAAAGTGAACTTTGATTGTGTATAGTTGACGGGCTCAGACCAACAAAATCAATAAACAGTTCCTGCGAAAAACAAACTTGGAACATTGTAATTATAAAATTAATAGACAAACTTTGCTGAAATTTCCCACAACATATTTGAAATTTTATTGGGTATAAACTGTTTTGGTCCTATTTTTTTTTTTTTTTTTTTTTTTTTTGGATATATCAAGGGTTTTCACCATCGAACACAGTATCGAATCCCCTAGCTGAGTTGTAAGCACTTCTTTTGGGTGGGACAGCTGACCTTGAGATTTAAGGCTGCTTTGATCCTAATTGATGAGTTGAAAAAACGTGTGATTTGATTTTAAAACTTCGTGATAATAATTTGAAAGTAATTTTGTAAGATATAGTACTAGTTTAAAATAGTAGAAGTGTCAAATTACCACCTTGTGCTTAGATGGCATGTAGTGATTTCTTTTATGTATGGGGGTCATGAGATTGAGCCTCAGTGGAGGTGTATACTAGTATTCAAAAAAAAAAAAAATACCCTTTCAACATTAATGGATAATTAATTCTTTCATTTAATATTATTTCATATTTACTTATTGATAAAATATTTGATTTTAAACATTTTTTATACGATGAAATTAAACATTAATGGATAATTGATTCTTTCATTTAATATTATTTCATATTTATTACTTATTGATGAAATATTTGATTTTAAATATTTTTTATACGAAGAAATGGAAACAAAAAAACATAAGTTATTACATGAAATGTGGTTAAGTTGCACTGGTTGGACTACCTAAAAGAGGGGATTAGAATCATGGGCAAATTATGCTGTGCATCTGTATGCACCATGCATGGTGCATACGGATGCAAAAACGATGTCGTTTTAATAAAACGCGCGTCTCTCCTTAAAAAAAAATTAGGTTCGATTCCCAGCAATAACATATGAACTACAATTCCATAATCGATGAACTATAATTCCATAATCTAATCTATGAACTAAAAATTCCAAAATGAATGAACTAAAATTCCATAATCTATAAACTAAAATTCCATAATCTATGAACTAAAATTCCAGAATGAATGAACAATATAATGTTGTTGCTGGGAATCGAACCTGAATTTTTTTTAAAGGGGAGACGCGCGTTTTTTAATAAAACGATGTCGTTTTGGCATCCGTATGCACCATACAGCATAACTATCCAGAATCATGTAAATCAAAATTTAGAAGTCAAAGTCGCAAGAGTTCCAGGCATAATGTCATTTAATATAATTCACACATATATTAAACACGGTATAAATATACGGAGTAATTAATAACACAAACATGATCACGTTGCAATAATCTCTGCATCACTTTTTTTTTTTTTTTTTTTTTTTTTTTTGGAAAAATCTCTGCATCACTTAAATAAGATGAAAGTGAAAAATTGTGGTGTTTCTCGGAAACCTTGTGTTATTCTTAATTACTATGGTTCTTCAAATTTTTTTCTTCATTTTTCTGATTTTCACATTAGATAAATGTATAAGTAAACGAATTCTTTATTTTCCTTTCTCAAAAAAAAAAAAAAAAAATTAATTAGTAAACACACTCTTAATTTTTGTATATTGACATTGAATCATTCTAAATTCACTCTTATAAAACTCTTATTTTAACATAGAAGTAAAATGTAACCAAAATTTACATATTAAGGGTGTGTTTGGTTGGTGGGTTTTGCACATAGGAATGTGTATGAAAGTGATTGTTGTTGTTTAGTTGATAGGTTTTTAGAACACTACTATGGGTTTCGAATACCCCATCAATTGAAAAACTCATACCCAAATAAAATAAGGGTTTCATTCCTTTATTCATTCTCAAGCACTACTATTAGTAACCATTCTCATTCCACCCTACTACCAAACATGTTAAATACTTTCACCAAAACCCATTATCATTACCAAGTATTTGATACCCATTCCAATTCCGATTCCTATGTGCGAACCAAACACACCCTAATTTTTTTTTTTTTAGTGCAAAAGGCAAAATTCCTTGTCCGTAGGGCCTTCATCTGCACACCCGAGTTCTATGATAATTGTGAAATAGTTAAATTATGATGATTCAATAACCTCATTAATCATTATGTGTCTTTGGGTGCAACCTAGCTACCATTCGATAACCTATTGAGCTATCCATGAAATTATCTAGGGATAAACAATTTAAATTACAGTTTTTTTAAAAAAAAAAATATAGTAGAAAATAGAAAGGGAAGAGTGGATCTAGTTTCTTGATGAGAAGATTCTTTTTGGCTAAAGTAATATTCCAATTCTGATGATTAGCCACATTCTATTACGGATATGGAGTACTATTTAAGAGTGTATTTGTGTATGTCAATTAAAAAAATAAAATTATTAGACAGTATGAGCTGAGTATTCCTTATTTTGGATTAAATATTTTTCTATTGTGCCTAATATATAAATTCATATTAATGATTAATATTATGGGAAATAGTAAAAAGATCGTATGTCATACCTAATTTGACTAATCTTATCAAGAACCACTTTTGATAATCACTCTCCATCACCACCTTCTTAAATTCTCCAGTTCAACAAAAAGACCACTTATGAAATTATAACTTACAATTCTGCAATTAAACTTATAGCAATTCCAATCGTATACTAAAACTCAAAGTTCATTCACCCGAATAATATTGTGCAAGTAAATATAGCACTCAAATGATTACAACTATAGATATATAATATTTATTGATTTATTTAAGTATTTATTATTATTATTATTATTATTATTATTATTATTATTATTATTATTATTATTATTATTATTATTATTATTATTATTATTATTATTATTATTATTATTATTATGTTGCGTGGCGTTGTTGGTAATTCATTGTATTTAGACTTTTGGAGAGGTAGATTAACGAGACAAGGATACAATTAAGTGAATTAACCCAATAAACTAAATAAGGCAATTGTTTTTATGGAGCATGGTACACAATAAGATATCACATTATTTATGTACTAAATATATAAAATAATGTATTTTCAGTATTCAAATAATGTATATCAGTAAACAAATAATGTATCTTTAATATATTAAAAAAATATATTTTATTCATAATTTACAAAGCTGTGTGGATCATGGTTCATAGAATAATGATCGACTAAATAAGCATTGCATTAATATAATGAGGTGTAATTATAGTATTTAATTAATGAAGAAACATTTGTGCAGCGACAGGACACCTTGCACCATTTGGCGTGTATGGTACGAAGTGGAGTCAGCAAGCAGGTACTAGAACAATTAAAGAACATTAAACAAAATTAAAAAGACTAAGGTTTGAGATCGAAAACGTGATATTGTCGGGCCACCAAATGTTCAATATTTTGGAATAATCATTTTCGAATTGGATTAATGGATATATGTTGATTATTGATGGGAGTCATGCATGGACAAATTTAGATTGAGTAGGGACTAATTAAGTTTAAATGAATTTAAAAATGTTCATACAAAATATCAGTCAAAATGTCTGCAGCTAAGTCTCTATACTGTAACTATTTGTTCAATTTAGTTCATATACTTTAAT